AATATTAAGAGCAAATGTTCAACAAGAAGTTGGTGAAGAAAAAGAAGTTCTTGAACCAATAGAAGAAGAAGAAGAAGCAGAAGAAGAACAAGAACAAGAAGAAGAAGAAACTCAACAAGAATATACTCAAGGAGAAAGTTCTCAACAATTATGGTCTAATACTGGATTAACACTACAACAAGTTATAGAAGATATAATAACTCCAGGTAGACCAAAACAACAAAATATTGAAGAACAACAAATTGTTAAAGAAGAACAAAATATTGAAGAGCAACAAATTGTTGAAGAACAACAAGAAGAACAGAGTGTTGAGAAAATAAACCCCCAAGAAAAAACATTTGTTGATTTTGAATCTTTATATAAAGAAAGAACTCAAAGTCAAACAAGTATAACTGATATATTAGAAGATGTAACTCTTAAATTTTCTACAAGTATGAGCATTAGTGAAGAAGGTGAAGGTAGTAAAATTATAAAAAAAGTAATTCTAATAGAAGTTGAATCTCAAACTGAATCTGAAGATAAAGAGGATGATGATATAATATATATACCTCAGCAGAAAAAACAATTAAAAGAAAAGAAAAAGAAAAAGAAATTGTTGAAACTGAAGATGAAGGTGATGAAATAGAACCATTTGAATTACCAATATTTTCTGATAATGAAGAGGCAGGTGATCAAATTGATTCTGAAAATGAACAATCAGATGAACAATCAAAAGTTCAACAAAAAAAAGAAAAGGAAAAAGAAAAACAGTTTCAATTAGAGAGTTTGTAGTATATAGATTTATGATTAGAGATTCTAACAGAACAAAAAGTATTTTGCATCGTGCTAGAAGATTATTTCAGCAATATATAGTAGATCAATATGTAAAATGGGAAACAAATTGTTTAAATTGGCATTATAAAAATCAAGCCAAATTAAGAACTGAAACATATCATGGATTAAATGATATGATTTATAATGAAGAAGCTGATATAAATCAAGTTGGAAAACAAATAATATTGGCTTCAAGTTTTACAGGATCTACAAGATATTTTCAACAATTATATCAAGATGCAATGGCAATTGTTAGAGAATTTGGAAAACCTGATTTGTTTATTACAGTAACATGCAATCCAAAATGGCCTGAAATTCTTGATGAACTTTTACCTAATCAAAAATCTTCTGATAGGCCAGATTTAATTGCAAGGGTTTTCAAATTAAAATTACAAGCAATAACACATGATTTATTTATGAGAGGAGTTCTTGGAAAAGTTATTGCACATGTGCATGTTATAGAATTTCAAAAAAGAGGATTACCACATGCACATATTTTAATAATCTTAGCATCTGAAGATAAACTACAAACTCCAGA